GCAGATTCAAATGTGACAACTCCGTAATGTACATGATGCCGTTTGCCCGAGCAGCGTCAAAAATCATTTCACACTACAGTCCCCAATGAGATGAAGTTGACCTCCTGGAGTGTTAAATACAACATGCATCGTTCGGCTGGTTGACGGCGTACCAATATACCGCCAATTCTTGAGGGAGATAATTGTGATGTCCGAGGCTGTATCCAGCTGAAGACGTACCTTTTGCTCCTTCTGGTGAATTCTGATGTACTTTCTGTGAGCCACATGTTCATGAGAGTAGGCCGCTAGAACCGTACTATAGCTGCTAAATCTTTTGGGAACCTTCGAATTTGGTCGCGAATGTCTAACACGCTTGAACAGCAGTCGAGATGGGTAGTGCATTTCCTTAGGGCCCCGTTTATGTCACTTGTGGCAAACCTGTTGCAGGAATGGACATAATCGAACGAATGTCACTCATCACATCTCCAACAAGCAGTCGGAGACTTGGGATTCTCTCTGCGCTTTTCATGGCACGTTTCATTTGGAAGTAGTTTCATTGAAGTGGTTTTCAAAACACTGAGACGGGGTTGACTGTCGGCTCTCCAGCATAAGCGTGTCCTGCTTGAGGCTCAGTAATCTTTGGTATTCAGTAGTGATGGACTGTAAAGTCATTTGCGGGTCTTGTTCAAGTTTTCTCAGCAGCCTGATTCGAACATTTGCATCCCGTGGGGATGTAGGCCACCGTTAAAAAGCAGGCATTTGAACTGGTCTGTCATGATGGTTTTGATGTCGAATTTTTCCTCTTCGCTATTGACGGTGCTAGCTTAACTAATGTAGTCACCAGCGTCCATTTTAGTTATTTTCAGACACTGAGATCGATTGTTGAAGATGGATGCGTGATCTCCGGATATTTCGCCCGAGCATTTGACCCTCACATCAAAAGTGCAATCCCGATGGTTCTTGGGCAAAATAAAATTGACATATTTGGAGTGCTTTGCTGTTCCACTTTTCATTAACAGCAATCGGACTTTCCAATCCTCATCATGGTCCCCATGTTTAACGCGCCTACCGCAACTTCCAGTCATGTCTGTCACGCCACGCCACGTAAATGATTGACTGAGCGCCATAGCTGGATCAATATCAAGGTCCTTCCGCCAGTACCATATCTCACACATTTTGAATAGAGATCCAGCACGTGTCTGCCCCTTGTTTTTCGTTCGTTAGTGGCTTCGGCCGTAGTGCTACAAGATCCTACTTGCGCAGGGCCTAGTATGCATATTGAGATACAATAGAACACACCTGCGTAACATTTGAACCAGGATGCAAATGTGTGGCCAGCATCAGGGTCCTACGAAAATTCCGCAATGCTGTTAGTGACGGCATCTACCGATGAGGAAGACTTGCTGGTTATTGACCGTGAACCGGTCTGGAGTGACAGTTGGCGTGTAAATGTTTCGATTAGCCTGAATTAATACTGCTCAAATAGTGCTTGTTGGTGCTGCTGCTGCTGCTGCTGCTGCTGCTGCTGCTGCTGCTGCTACTGCTGCTGCTCTGCTGCTGCTGCTGCTGCTGTAAAATGGCCTGGAGCTCGTCAGCTGATATGGACATCGTGATAAGGGATCAACCCGTCGCCAACTGAGGCGCTCGTACCTCGCCTGAATTGGCGATTGATTCTCAATCGAAATTCTAGGTCGCAGTGCCCCCCATAGGGCAGAGAGAAGACCAGAGTGGACGAACAGAGGAACAGGGATGTAGTAACCAAACACACCGTTTATTAGAAAAGTAAAATTGTAAGTTCATGAATGGTAGTTAAAGCTCACATGGAAACCTCTGGATGAGTCAACTTACGGCCAATCAATCAATGTCACCGTCGTGTTGATTGGCCGCTTCACCCGGTTATCTATCTGTTCACCCCAATCAGCGCGGGCGAGTTCGGATCGCCTGCCACGCCTTGGCTCCGTAACGGCGATGGGAGCTTCTGTTTTCGCTTAGAGTTATGTTCCTAACACCTCCATAATACTTTGTAAACTGACTGGCGATCGTGAAAGCCAGATGTGTGGGGAGTAGGCCGGGTTTCGTCGTGGTCGACATGCATCGACCACATATTCACATTAGGTCGGTTGTTGGGGCACCGTCACATGTGTTGGCGGCCCACCGTTGTCATGTTCCTCAACGTCAAAGTGGCCTTCGATTCAGTGGATTGACTTGTCCTTTGGGACTATCTGCTAAGGCAAGATGTACCCAAGAAATATGTAAATGTTATGCGATCGCTTTAGGCGCATAGCTCTGGCAGAGTGAAGACTTACGGCAAGCTGTCGCCGCCCTTCAATAGCTCCAGCGGTATGAGACAAGGATGCCCGCTATCAACTTCCCTCTTCAACTTGCTATTGACGAAGTCATGAAAATCGCGTTCATAGGGCACGACTTAGAAGGTGTGGATCTGCCCCCGTCTGAACGACTATTTGACTTGGAGTATGCTGACGATATTGCTCTCATCTGTGATAGTCCCCAAACGTGTCAAGCTGAACTGGACACATTAGCGCTGGCTGTCACCCGTTTCGGGCTACGCTTTGCACCTTCAGATTGCAAAGCTTTCCTCCAAGATTGACAAGGACCGCCTCCTGCGCTGACCCTTGGTGGGGATCAGCTAGAAGTCGAACAGACGTTCAACTACTCAGGTAGTTGTATCAGCACCGTTGGAATTGTAGACGAGGTGACAAACCGCACAGCAAAAGCATTTCGTGCTTTTGCCAACCTTCGCCACCTATGGCGTAAACACAACATCGCTCTCTCCCTGGAGGGTAGAGTTTACGATGCAGCCGTACTTTCGACCCTAACGTACGGTTGTGAAATCGGTCCCATTATATCAGCAGTCATAAGGAGGCCAGTTACGTTCGACCACCGGTGCCTTCGCAGTTTGGCTCATATCTCGTGGGAGTACTGTGTGAGCGATAAGCGTTTATGGCACAGGAAGAAGAAGCGAGCGGCTCAGCACCGTTATTTCACTCACCAAGCTCCGATTGCTGGGCCAAGTGTTGCGCATGCCAGCCCACTGACTCTCGCGACGTACGTTGTTTGCGCTCCGGGGGTGCGGATGGAATGAGAGGTGGCCAAACGATGACTTGGTCAAGAGGAATGAAGTCCCTTACTTCGATGTTGGCTTCGGTTGGAGCCTCTGGGATCCCAGGTTGGGGACCGAAGGACGTTGAAAGAGTTTAGCTGGATACGCTTTCTGACATGGCTAGCAGCTGATCTCAATTGTATTTGTGTTATGAGTTTCTTTATCCCTCTCCTCCCGCTTATCCATCCCCTCCAACCAGAATCTCAATTATTAGGCATATTATGACTAGTTTGAGGCACAGTAACCGGCTGTTAGCTCATCGAAACGATGTCCATCCATTACTAGTGAGTTGGCCGGCGTGCCTCTGTTGCATTTTTGCTTCTGTTGTATCGCGGCAGAACAGTTGCGGTGTTTTTAATCTGCTACTAACGTGTATAATGATGATGATGCACAAACAATAAGGACCCAAATCCATCCCTTGTGATGTATCCACATTGCTGTGCTGACCCACTTAAGTGTCCTGCTCAATCTCCTGTGTGAACGGAGGTAGCCAATGGAGTGAAAAAGCATGGCACCTGGTACGAAGCAAAGAGACCAAGTTCAAAGTCACTTGCCCATCGATCAAGAGTCGATGACGCACTGCGACACTGACGATGTCACCTCGACTGGTGACGTAACGTCCGCAGGACAAGTGCTCAGCTCGAAGAATAAACGAAAACCAGTTCTCTTCTAGCTACAGGTATTCCGACTTATCTCAGAAAGCATGCCAGCGGTTCACAATGTCACTGGCTACAGAGGGTTTGCGCTGATTATTTTCTTTACTATAGACGGGCTATGCTTCCAAGGTGCTTCTGGTGATTGACTGCGATCGTAATGTGTCTAGATGGGATGGGACCTGTTTATATGTGCTATGTTTCGCTATTTATCAAGACAGTTTATTAAAATCTAAGAGGATTTGCGTTTCACGCAATCGCTTTTGAGGCTTATCGATGATCCCATTTGCGAACTATGTAGAGCTTCATGTGGTTACGAGGCACCGTTAGCAAGGCAAACTTGTGCGTTCTGCCAGTAGACATTCTCACTGTTTTAGGGAGTCTTAAGAACAACGCGGCTTTTTTCCCACCGGATGCACTCCTTGCACAAACGTAATCAAATGATTTCGACCGGTAGATCTAAAACCTTTCAGCTGATTTTGCACAGCCTTCTGTCCTCATCGGTTACACTAAGTAGCCATGTTTTCATCCTGCCTCCAAATAAGAATTATAAAGGAAAATGCTGATTCCAAAATTCATCCTGATTGCTTTGAATGCAACCACACAGTGTTTAGGCGGAACAATTTTTGGAGAATCCGGGAAGAACAATTCGGTATCATGTTCACCCTGTTAAGCGCAATCGTCCAAGTAGTACATAGCTTCCTTTTTTACTCTCACAATACCTGACGTGGAAGAATTAATCGCCCGATCGACTACGACCAATGGTTTTGATATGCTACAGATAGTCATTGTAAGTTTAGCTACTAATCTGATCTAAGAAAACGGCAGTGACAAAGCGTTCAAATAGATAGTTGACATACTTAAATCTAACCGGACAGTTCCAAACACAGAGGAATGAACAGAAGCAATCGTCCAGTACACGACAGCGCTTTCCTGGATTGGTTTGAAAGCGACAAGTTTCTTCTGGATGAGTAACGTCAAAAGCAGCAACTTGCCAGAACTGTATGTCCTACACAGCTTCGTGCTCTGGTTCGATACGTTTTTATTTGTTTATGCCAAAAGGCGTGGGGGACAAGCCCATAAAGCTCACAACCGTGCAATGGTGTCAAACGACCGCCCAAAAGAGATGCGTACAAGTGCCTGTGTGCGCAGTCGCTGGTTCAATGGTTTTTCTGCCTGTCCGTGCGAGTGACTGCACACGGAGTTGCACACACACATGCAGTGGTCAGTGACTGTGCGATGCAGCTGCGGATGAGAATCAGTATGCGAATACTCAGTGCTCAGTTCTGCACAAAGTTGGTGCAACCATGTTTGATTATGAAACTTGCTCCGGTGGCTTTACGGTGGTCAGTAAGAGTACGTGAATTATTCTGTACGAACCGGTGAACAACTGATAAACTGGCAAAGGATGCCACCGGCATCGGTAGTTATTTCTTCGAATCCACCTCACTTAAGCAATAATTCGTTCCTCGTCAAATTAGCGGTGGATCTCAATGTGACCAGCATCCCTCTGGCTATTTTTCTACTAATTTTGATTTGCATCGCATGTATTCTCTTTGTGGTTGTCCTAATCCTAATTGCGAGGAGTTGCATACGGCGAAAATTTATTGCCAAACGCAAGCGGAAACCAGCCAAAGGGATATATCTGGATGAGATAGCTGGTGCTGTGCTGGGAGATGTCGAAAATACGCTCGGTTCCCTGGAATATTCGCTTGAATATGATTTGCAGAGTCAGCAGTTAAAAGTGGGCGTAATTCAAGCCCATAATCTTCAGACTCCCGCTGGTGTGGACGCACTGGACGCATACGTCAACGTAAATGTGTATAAACAAAAGGGAGGCAAGAATGAACCGGTTGGTAAGCCACAGCATACCATCAGAAGACATTCGCAAAATCCGGTTTGGCATCAGTCCTTCTGTTATGATGTTCGCGAAAGAGAACTTCAAGTTGTGTTTGTTGTTTTTGAAATGTTCGACTACGATAGTATCGGGCAAGACAGAAGCATTGGAATTCTAAAGGTGACGTTAAAAGACTTGGATGAAAGTGACTATGCCGGACAAATATTTGAGTGTACTGGTTGGCTAAAGCCCGGAACCCCAATGGTGGACGGTGTTGGTGAATTGTGCGTTGGTCTCAGCTACTATCCACAGCACAGTCGGATAGACGTGACGATTTACGAGGCACGTCAGCTTAACGTTGCCGACAAACTGTCAAAAAGAAAAGGAAATCGCCTGCTTATAAACGTGGAGCTACAAGACAAAAAGGGACGACGTTTGAGCTCCAATGAGACAAAACCCAAGAGCGAAATCATCAATCCATATTTCAACTCCAAGATGAGCTTCCCATCAAAGAATGTCGAGTTGACCGAGTGTGCGGTCGTTTGTCAGCTAAAACGACATGGCAAATTAGGTGGAAACAAGACGTTAGCTTACTGTATCCTTGGATTTGGTTCAACAATCAGTACCGGATCAAAACAATGGGAAGAGATGTTGAGGAATCCATCAAAAACACATGTAATGTGGCACACTCTTATCCAACGAGGCAAAGATAGCGCAAAATAAACCTACGCATCTGCTCAAGTCTGCATCGGCACATCGTAGCCACTACAGGCGGCTGGCAAGTTTGGCAAAATTTGTTTAGTGTGAACTTTGCTACTTTATCATACTTTACAGTTTAACTGAATTAACTGTTCTTCAGGCAGATAGCTAACCCTTTGTCCTTGGTGGGGTGATTACACAAACTACCACAGCAGAAGAAGAAACGTTCATTGAGTATGTTATTGTAACATAAACACATAATGCAAACGCGGGTATAGAAAGGGGAAATATGGTCAAAAGATCGGAGGACTTCGGTGCAATCGAACTACCAACAGTTGGAATGGTGTCCGATGACCCCAAGCCATTGTAGTAAAAAGCCTTCCAATTTGTACACAAATTTTCGTGTAAACACTGTAAATGTTTTCTGAATAAATGTAGAATCGTGGGCTTAGCATTTTCACCTGTAGAACTTTCACCAGAATGCATCCCATTATACGTGGCGTTTCTGCCCTAAATGCGTTCTGGATTTCAGCCTTCTTAATTCGGAGTAGTTTTACTCAACCAACACTAAGTATGTCGCACCATATCCGCCAAAAGTTTTCGTTCTATCAGAAATGGAAAAGTTACTTGATCAGAGGCCTGACATTGCTGCAATTACGAGGACTGAATAAACAGATGAAACGGTGGAATACGCCATTATATAACTTTCCTTATAAGCATTTTTTAAGATTCGTGCCCATCTAGTTCACTTTCGATTAGGTCAAATCTATTTTGAACGGCATTTCCGTTTTTAAACATTTGATGTTCAATTAAACTAACTTGACTGTGATTGGCGCCATTTATTAAACTACATTCACCGGCGAAATGTGAAAGCTTTTGGGCTACATAGGAAATTCCAGATTCAACTTCACCCGCGAATGATAAAACCGGCAGAAAGGAGTGGACATCTTACATGAAACGGACATTATCAAGATATGTTGTTTAGATCAAACGGTTAGTTTTCATAACATGGCAAACTCGTGCTAGAGCAAAGTATCAACTCAGCGGGGCAAAGTCATAGATTATTATGAAATCACCAAAAAGTACCCTGCTAAACGTTGTTAGAGTTTGCTGGCAACTTTTTAAATTATAACGATAGATACATCGAAGTTAATTTGCGCGGAATAGGAAATAATTTAGTTGAAAATGCAGTCAATGATAAAACATAAATATTAACCGCTACTCAGATTGGTTAGATATATCGTGTTTTAACCTCTAGAGTTAGAAGGCATAATGAAGGTAACTTTGTGCATACACTTATTCAGTGATCCAAGGCACGAAGCAGAAAGTACGAAACACTAGAATGAACTCGCCTATGAGTAAATGTACTCCCGAAGAACATATCTAGTGTGGAATTCATATCCAGTACATGATCAACCCACTTACTATATGGAATGAAGTTCAGTTTCAAAATGCCATTTTATGGGTTCATTGCTGAGTTGTCTCATATTTCATCTTCCCCGAAAGTTTTATCGACAGGTTCATATAACCTGATGCATAAGCTTTTGCAGCCGAAGTACTTGGCTCGGAGAACAACCGAACAACCTAGTCCGCAACTGAAGTAGTAAATATTTTCGACAATTAATTCAGCATATTTGCATATAGACGTCCGAGTAAGTAAGTAGTCTTAGTGGAAATTTCCTGTATGTAATTCCTTGCTAACCGTTGAGTTAGTAAAGGTACACTGCCAGAAGTGAATCGATGTGGTTGAGAAATTCGCATCCAGTTTAAGCAACAATCTCCGTGTGATCGTACAGCCGTCTGACAGCACTAGAGAAATAATAACTGCAAAATCTACTCCTAAGGCGAATATCATCACACGTTGGTTTGTTTGGAAGTAGCGTGTGAATGCAATAAGAGTGCATTTGCTGAAATCGATCAGGCTGCTTAAAACCGTAAGTACTAAACCGAATGACTACGCTAAATCAGTAAGGCTGGGCTGTGTGCAGGCAGTCACTTGCGTTTTGGTGAGTAACCTGAGAGCCTCAGGTAAAAGATGAATAATAGCGGAGTAATTCCTGAAGTAAGTGAGAACAGGCGAACTGAACCGCATATAAACGACCACTTTTCTCTGCCGGAAGAAAGGGGAATCAATGGTCGTTATGGTACCAGGCGCGCTGCGAAGTTGGGTCTGTGGCGATGCTCTACACGAATCAACAGAGATACGACAACAAACTTGCCGTTGGTATTGTGTGGAAAATTGTGGAAAGCTCTGAGGATAACATAGTGCCACCATAGCTAAGTTACTGTTGTCCTTTTAAGTAAGTGCTCAACACTATCGCAAGCGTAGTGCTCATCTGAATGCAACGGATTAATAAATACAGCCCATCGAGCAGGAAAATTGTTCTCTATTGTGCGAGATGCTAGTAGCAAGTTAGATCCCTTAACTTACCTTCACATAATGCGGTTTTTGCGGGGGATCAATGATTACACCTATAGGCACAAATGGGCCTATCGCTACGAAAAAAGGAATACATTGGCGAACAAGGTTCAATATTTTCATAAATTCATCTTCCCTTACTCTTCCACTTGTTAGATCTTTTATATTTGAATATATTACTAGTAGTTAGTTTGATATTGGTGTAAATTTTTCTGCCAGACGATGCTCAATACCAATTCCATTTGAAATCGCAGAAGCTCATTTAGATTCGCTTCAGCAACAAAAGGTAGTGTGGAAAATTAAAATGAAATCCCACTTTTTGGTTATCATCCGAGGTGGTAGCAGATGCCTTCTTCGCGATGGATCGCGAAATGTTTGGCTCGTACACCATAGTATTCGCAAAGTAGCAGTATCTTTCTGATGCAAATCTGATGATGCTAGTGTCTTTTTCTTGACCTAGTAGGAGCTTTTCATTAACTTGCCAAATGATGTATGATAATAAGTCTTTACCGTTGACAGTCATTGGGTTTCTCAGTCTGGATCTAACGGCAGCAATAGTGGCAATGGTAAGGTAGGTTCTTTTTGTGTTTTTCCGTGCTGTTTTTCAATACTAAAGGAAATTGCACACAAGTGACTCGGTACGCTCATACTGCAACTGCTGAACTTATGTTGACGTCTCAGTATAAAGTCTGGAGTTCTCACCCCAACAGGCTGGTTTATGACTTCCTCCAACTGATCAGGTGGAATTAGAAAGGAAGATGTAGCTGTTACCTAGTGATATTTGAGGAAGAGGAGGAATGGGCGTATAACTGGCGATACTCAATCCATACCACTGAAAGATACATTTCGATGCGGTGTGCATCACCAGATATACAGAGCTGATGACTCAAGAGGTTACAAAGCTTCACCCTTCTTACCTATTCCCCGAATTGTTGTTGTCAAAGACTCTACGCTCGTTTTCTTACTTGAAGTCCCATACTCCGCATAAGCCCGGTGAGTGATTTCCACTTGGTGGATCCTAACAACACTTGGTTAGCCGGTATTCCATAATGACCAGTCTTATGTGCCCACCCACCTGTACTCCGACAATGACGTCTGTGTGGCTCTGTTTTTTTGGTCCCTTAAACTGGACGAGCCCCAGTATTCTCATAATGCGACCCAGTGCAACTAGTCTGCTGTTAAACAGCCAGTGGCGTCACAATAATCACCATAGCCGTTACATCCTGAGAACTAAAAGTGAATATTTTAAAATTGCCATAAATTTAATTTCTCCCTGAATGGCATAAACACATCAATGCCCTTCGAAAATTTATACTAGCCATGTGTCAAAACACAGCGTGTTGCTATTTTTCCGATATCTAGACAGCGATTAATGATGATGAAATAATTTATGCCCGAACATGTGCCCCTTTAAAATCAGATTTCTTATAAGTAGCATTTGGACAGACCACATATCCGTGTCATAATAGTTTGCCTTCTCCTTTCGTTGTTCCAGACAGGTAGCATCTGATTTGGTCGCGTGGGAAGAAGCGAAGCACTACCGAAACTGAGGAGCGAAAAAATTACTGTTCAACTGAAAATTTAAAATACCAAGTAGATGAATCACTGATGTAGCGGAGTGTATTCGGTATACGGGTGCCAACTGCGACTTGGGTAGGGCGCATAAATGAAAAAATTTTCTTTCTTTGCAGCGAAACAAAAGCTGAACACAGTCATGTTTTGGTGATGAGGGTAGCGAACATCCGGCATGGGTCGTTCGCCAGTTGTCTCCGTGCAGTTTGGAAAACAAAAACTGAACCAACCAGGTCGCCTTCAGTGTTACAAATTGTTCCAACAAACTAGCATACACTCTTGTTATTCCGGAGGCGGCTTACTGTGGTTTGTGAATGCAGGCTCAAGTCTGATGGACTTAACATGCCGAAACGACCAGCGGCCAGGATTCAAGGGTACACGTATGTGGTATGAAAAGAAATTAAGTATAGAACCAAGTATTCTTTCACCTGTAATAATATGTTTATAAGATTGCTTTCCCTAAGTTGGAAATGATAAAGTGGCCTCTTTAGCATGGCTACTAATTGTAAAGCAGCGGTTTTCAATAGCATACGGATGAAGAAGATTAAAGGGGCGGTCGAAATATATAGGCAGTGGTTTTAATATGTACAACCGCCTTCTGCCTCTCGCTGTCATTAGCATGCTTTTACGGTTATGTGCATCCAAAATTCCTGGCAACTGAATCACAGTGAAAAGCATCGTGCACTTGGTATACCATTCACAATAGAACCGGGTGATTCAAGCTGCAATTGTAGCCTTTAGGCATTGTTATACACACAAGGAGTTTTGAATACTATTGTTGAACTGCGGAATATATACCAGTCAGGTTTGGCACGCCTTTAATACTTGTGAAATTTCACAGTGTCTTTCTTACCAACACAGACTAAAGACTCTAGATGGTTTTCGTGGACAGTATTCGGCTCTGCTGAGTGGTATTATCTTCGTGCTACGGATTTTCAGGAACACCAAACACACATGACATTGAAACACTCAAACAATTTCTCCACAATTCCCTCTTCATGAGTATATCAGCGAAAACACCTCGCTGAGATGCCAGCATTTCAACTTGGCCATGCAATATAACAAGAATGCTGCCAGCGTTTATTCCCCTTCGTGTTTCCCAGTCGCCGGGCCCTGATCCAATTTGTGTTATGGCCGTTCATACCTTCATAGAAGTGAACACACGAATTACGGATGCAGCTACAATATGAGATTTAACTACCCTAATGAGGACACAAACTAACGTGACTAAACTTCGCGCACAGATGAACCTTCCAGTGAGTCCAACGACACCCGTTATTTCGTCGACTCGTTTACTCTTACATTTACTCTTCTCATAAACATTGCCGCACTCTGTCTAACTTGTGAGATATATTTATCGCTTGCTTTACGTACAAGAGCATGTGGAGCGAATTTCAGTGACTAGTCAGCACGCAGAAAGCAAAATAATACCCCTAATTGAACTGTTGCGGTAAA